TCCCCTTTTTCATTCTTTTCAGAGTTTTCTGGACTTGACCCTCGCTACTCTTTCCCACTTCTTCATCAATGGTTTCTATGACCTGTACTCTTCATTATCTTACATTCTCTTCATTCATTAGCTCCTCAAGTACTCCTTCCATCTTCTTGTCACACTCTCCTCACTTGTTAAAACATTACCATTCCTATCTTTAAAAGCCTAACCTGCTGCACATCCTTTCCAGCCTGATCCCTCTGCCTTGCCAATCGGTGCAAGTCCTTCTAACCCTCTTTAGTGTCCAGCCTCCCATATAACTCATTATACGCCTTCTGCTTTGTCGTTGCTACCTCCCTCTTTGCTTGATATCACATCTCCTTATATTCCTGTCTCCTCTCTTTAGTCCTCTCGCTGTCGTATTTCTTCTTGGCTAACGTATTTCTTTGAATAGCATCTGCACTTCACTATTCCGCAAACAGGTTTCCTTATCATCTATTCTCTATCCAGATGACACACCAAGTACCTTCCTATCTGGCTCTCTAATTACTGTTGCTGTAGTAGCCCAGTCATTTGGAAACTCTTACTTACCACCCAGAGCATTTAACAGCTTATCTCTGAATTTCTTACAACATTCTTCCTTATTCACCCTCCACCAATTGGTCTTCTTCTCTGATTTTACTCTGTTTCTCTTCTTCACAACAACAGTCATTCTACACTCAATCATTCAATGCTGTCTGGCAAAACCGGGGAGAATTTTGCAGGGGGAGGGGCAGTCATCCCCCCATTCGTTTACGGAGCAGATGAAGGGGAGCCAACCCAAAGAGCATGTTGAGCAATCGCTTCCTGCTCCTACTGAGGATGATCAGATCCCTGAGCTGCCTTCACTAGAGGACCAGGTGGTTCATCCTCTCATCAGAGGTTCCATAATGATTCTCAGAATCACTTCCAGAGACAGAATTAGAGTTAGAAGACGCCTGGTGGACCAACTCTTAAGAGATCTTCATCTCCCAGCCTGACCTGCTTAGCACATCGGTTCATCAGGTAATCTTTAAATTTGACTGGAAACTGTAAAAACTAAACTTAATCCTGTTTTGGTCCCTGCGCACACTGACTCAACTGTAGAGTCTGGGAGCCTTTTGCGGGGGGGGGGGGGGGGGGGGGTACCCGAGCCCCCACATGCCAGTGGGACTAAAGGGCTTGGAGCCTGCAGTTGGTCCAGAATCTGCAGGTCCTCCAGAACCTGCAGCAGCCAGCCCAAAAACTGCAGGCCATCCAGAACCTTCAGGTCATCCAGAAACTGCAGCCAGCCCAGAGTCTGCAGGTGGTCCAGAACCTGCAGCTGGTCCAGAATCTGTAGGTCCTCCAGAACCTGCAGAGGTACCTGGGTCTCCAGAGTCTGCAGGTCATCCAGAACCTGCAGGCTGCCCAGAACCTGTAGCAGCCATCCCAGAACCTGTAGGTCATCCAGAAACTGAAGCCAGCCCAGAGTCTGCAGGTAGTCCAGAACCTGCAGCTGGTCCAAAATCTGTAGGTCCTCCAGAACCTGCAGAGGTACCTGGGTCTTCAGAGTCCGCAGGTCATCCAGAACCTGCAGGCCGCCCAGAACTTGCAGGTCATCCAGAACCTGCAGGCCACCAAGAACCTGCAGCAGCCAGCCCAGAACCTGCAGGCCATCCAGAACCTGCAGCAGCTAGCCCAGAAAATGCAGGTCATCCAGAACCTGCAGCCAACCCAGAGTCTGCAGGTAGTCCCGAAACTGCAGCTGGTCCAGAATCTGCAGGTCCTCCAGAACCTGTAAATGTACCTGAGGCTTTAGAGTCTGCAGGTCATCTAGAACCTGTAGGCCAGCCAGAACCTGCAGGTCATCCAGAACCTGCAGGTCATCCAGAACCTGCAGGCCACCCAGAACCTGCAGCAGCCAGCCCAGAACCTGCAAGTCAACCAGAACCTGCAGCCACCAGCCCAGAAAATGCAGGTCATCCAGAACTTACAACCAGCCCAGAGTCTGCAGGTAGTCCAGAACCTGCAGCTGGTCCAGAATCTGTAGGTCCTCCAGAACCTGCAGAGGTACCTGGGTCTCCAGAGTCTGCTGGTCATCCAGAATCTGCAGGCCACCCAGAACTTGCAGGTCATCCAGGACCTGCAGCAGCCAGCCCAGAACCTGCAGGTAATCTAGAATCTGCAGGCTACCCAGAACCTGCAGCAGCCAGCCCACAACCTGCAGATCATCTAGAACCTGCAGTCAGCCCAGAGTCTGTAGGTAGTCCAGAATCTGCAGCTGGTCCAGAATCTGCAGGTCCTCCAGAACCTGCAGGGGTATCTGGGTCTCCAGAGTCTGCAGGTCATCCATAACCTGCATTAGCCAGCCCAGAACCTGCAGGTCATCCAGAACCTGCATCAGCCAGCCCTGAACCTGCAGGTCATCCAGAATTTGCATCAGCCAGCCCAGAACCTGCATGTCATCCAGAAACTACAGCAGCCAGCCCAGAACCTGCAGATCGTCCAGAACCTACAGCCAGCCCAGAGTCTGCCGCAGAAGACACAGAACCTGCTCAGCATCCTGTACCTGCCGCAGAAGATTCAGAACCTGCCCAGCATCTTGTACATGCTGCAGAAGATTCAGAACCTGCTCAGCATCCTGTACCTGCCACAGAAGATTCAGAACCTGCCCAGCATCCTGTACCTGCTGCAGAAGAT